GAGAGTGAGTATCCATGTGGGTTGTTGGCTGTAGTTCCACCAGCAGGTGAGGGGGTGTCCGACCGGCCCTGTCCTACTAACTCGCTCGGGACTGGCCTGGAAGGCTGGTTAGGTTCAGACCGGGACAGCTCTTTCTTGTTTTGTGATGCGCTGCGGTAAGGGGCATGTGTGTATGTGTTGAGCAGATCCTTTAGTGATGTAGAAGGAGTGCCCTGAATCGATATCCGGGAAATAAGGAAGGCTACGGTACGCTCCCCTTGCCCGACAGACTTGCAAAATTTTGAGCCAATTCCTTGGGTGGAACGTGGACGCTCACTACGCTCATTCACCCTCTGTTCGGACCACGCCCCGCTGCAGTGGCTCCACCGCATGAAGGATGCCAACGCCCGGATCACCCGGTGGTATCTGGCGTTGCAGCCCTTTAAGTTCAAGGTGATCCATAGGCCGGGGGCGCAGATGGCAGTGGCCGATTTCCTCTCTCGCTCGCGGGGGGGGGAGTTGGCTCGGCCTGACGGCTCCCCGGCCTCGAACGGGCGGTGGGGGTGTGTGGCGGAGGCGTGGCCCCGGGCGCAGCTGCAGGGGAGGAGTGGAGCGGAAGGCTCAACAGGGCGGCGCTGCGAGGCCGGTAAGAACAGCTGATGTTGTTTATGGACTGATGATGGTCTCCCTCCGCTGTGTTTATAGTGAGACGAGGAGGAGCGGCCAGAGGAGAGATCAGCTGGGCTCGTGAGCTGTCAGACTGTGTGACTGAGTCAGCTGTGAAAACAACAACACTTAAATAAATGTGGAAGTTGGCTGTACCTACCTGTGTGTGCGTGTGTCTGTGCCTGGTGTATTCCACAACCGCCCCTGATCTCCCTCCGTTTCTTTCCCTCCGTGGTCCTTGTCCCTAGTCTCTTGTCTCCAGTATCTTTGTGTTTAGTTTTAGTTCCTGGTTTGGGTTTGTTTTTGCAAGTTTATTGTTTATAGAGGGTTTTTTTTCTGCAACTGCAACATTTTGGGTCCTACATCCTGACTGCCACAGCCATTTCATAACATTAACACTACAGAAACATGTATCGGATTGACTTTGTTCAGGAGCAAGCCGGTGGGATAAAACACCTCTAATTTACAGTAATGTGAATCACACATGGTAAAATTTAGCTTATTTGTCTGTCCGTCTTCAGACAGTAGTTCTTGTAAAGCACCAGAATATTATCACATGCTCTGTGGCAGGGTGTGGTCTGTGGTTCCACTGCAGAGGGGATAGTGGGTTCAGGGGGCAGTAGCAGGGAGGCTGGCAGACCAACTGGCACCAATGTGGTATTCCATACTTTAGTAAGTGGCTGGAATTAGAGGGGAAAGGTGGAACTGTATGGGCTCAAATTGTGGTCATAAATAAATTGTAGTAATAAGCTCAGTAAAGCGGCAAACCCATCTGTTCTCTGACTGGACTGTTAAATTTGTGATTGACATCACATTGACCAATCAGCTGAAGGGAAGAAAAATCGGGTCAAAATTCATACTTGTTGAAACCCACACACAAGCGAGGGCATGTCCAGTTTTTGCTTTGTATCTGTAAACAGACCTTAACAAAAAAAAATTGTAACTTGCACACACACACACGCACGCACACGCACGCACGCACGCACACACACACACACACACACACACACACACACACACACACACACACAAACAAACTTCCTGTTTTACTTTGAAGGTATGTGTCATATGTCTTTGTGTCCTCGTTTCGTCAGCTCTGATTTCTCCCTGGATTCAAGTTTCAGTTTGGTTTCATCAGTTTCCCGGTTTAGAGTTTTCTTAGTTCCCTGTGTTTACTATCTCCGCTCCTGATGAATCCTGCACTTCTTGTAAATAAAGCTCGTTCTCATCACAACCTCTGCCTGCACGGGTCCTCACCTCACCTCCACATAGCCTGCCTTGCCAGCCAGGACAATTTATAGATGCATGAACATAAAAATGTCAATGACCAACATGGAGAAATGTTTCATGAAGACATTGTAAACAAGGAGAAATGCGACAAGGCAAAGTGGAGCCTGGCAGAGTTGGAAGACTTTTGTTGAAGACTGGTACACAACTCACCACACAATGACTTGCTGCATATCATTTCTAGGTTGCCTACATTTGAATATAAAATGTATTCAGTAAGCAGGAAAAACTTGAAAAGTGATGGGCAGTGCTACCTGGCAATAAAAAGATAAGACAAGCAAGCTTGCAGCTGTTTCTGCATAAGTAAGACTTAACATCTGCAAAGAGAAAATCAAGATCATGGAAATAAATATAGCTGTCTCAGAAGTAGTAACACAGACATGGATTCCTTCCCTTACATTGGGAGTGTCATTAAAAGTTGGGAGAACAGACAAAGCAAAAGCCTTCTTACAGCTGAAGAACATCTGGAACCAGAGAATACAAGATTACCTCTCTGAACGAGAGGCCAAAGAATTTATGGCAACAAGATGCCTGAAAAGATACCAAGACGTTGAGATACAGATGGCATCAGACGGTTTGTTCTAGCCATTATTTTCTATTGAAGGCACAATTCAAATTTAAAAATGAAACATTTTAAAAATAATGTGTTTGCAGTCATCAGAATCTCTTTAGCTCATGGAAACATTTTATTGCTCTAAATATTTCTGAGACAGCAAACTTGTTCCCTGTATTATTGTCATCATTTCTCTAAAAGTAATCAGGTGTCTTTATGACCCACCTCCTTCTCTAGTTTGCCCCAGCCGGTGACCCAGCTGTTAACACCGCTGTAGAAGATGCTGTCTGAAGCTGCCAGGCAGACGGGAGAAATGTAGTTGTTGAAAGTCACCGGTGAGGAGAGCTTCAGGAGGCAGACGTCGTTGTCGTTGGTACCAGAGTTGTAGTTTGGATGTTTGATGATCTGTGTTACTGTCGAGACCTGCATTGGGGTTAGATCCCTGTAGACTCTGACGGCCCAGATTCACAGTCAGACCGCTTGCAGTAATGCTGCGATCAGGAAACGAAACGATGCACAGTTATTGTGATTGTTAAAATGAAATGACATCTTTGACTTTCTGCCCTGTTAGCTATTTATCGTGTTACACCCCTGTTCCCCTGATGGGGAGTTTTCATAATGTCTTTATTCCACTAAATCTTGTTTAGAGTGCAGCTTCAGCCTCATCACTCACGTTTGAAAGCAGTGAGCAGCAGTCAGCACCCACTGACTGTTAATGAGGGATCCTCCACAGAAGTGGGACCCAGATCTTTGCAGACTGACCTGCCAGGGCCAGCTGCCAACAGGGGCCACCTGTCCTCCTACAATCCTGGTGTTGAGCTTTGGCTGACCACAAACTGAAGACCGACATTAAAACACAGAGTGAGCATTACTGTAGGAGCTGTAAACTCTCAGCACTACAAACTGCTGAGTGAGGACACAGTGATCCTGGAGTCTACAGTTCACTCACAAACTAATATTCATATGAAACTAAAGATTTATTACACAAAGAAGTTTTTTCTTACCATCCAGCTGTGACTCAGACTCTGAAACACAGAAAACAATAGTGGTAAAATTGACTGGCTGTGGTTAGCTGAAAGCATCCAGCAGAGGCTCCAGCAGAGAGTCAGTCCCCACAGACTCCCATATTAAAACGTTAGAGCAGAAATAAAAATGTTTACAGCCTGTGCACACAGTGGATGTTGTTCTACTAATACCACTACTACATTACTGCAGAGGCTGACAGTGTTATGTTCATTCATCCATCTCAGGGTCAGAGGACAGTATGACACAGAAATTTAAAGAAACACAACACTGACTTCAGTTAAAGGTTCACATTCAAACATGACACAAACAGATGCACGCAATCAAAATATAGTTTTCCAAAGGTAGGTGTCCAACATCACCTCAGCTGTAGTAATTATTCTCATGTGTCCCATGAGTGGATAAATATTAGTAATGATACTAATAAATTAGTAATATTTATCCATAAGTCATGAGAACCTTAACTTCACCATGAACATGAACATGTCTTCACATTCTTGCTATGGTATTTTAAAGTTATGTTTACAATGCACATATTACAAATAAAGTAAGACTTCTCCATTTGTGCAAGAAAGCATTAGAAATATCCTGTCTCAGAGTGACGCTAGAAAAAGAGCATATTTCTCCATGTTTTGGCTCCTGTAATCAGAATTAAAATCCTGCTCCTCACATACAAGGTCTTAAATAATCAGGCCCCATCTTATCTTAATGACCTTGTAGTACCATATCACCCTATTAGAGCACTTCGCTCTCGCTCTGCAGGCCTACTTGTTGTTCCTAGAGTATTTAAAAGTAGAATGGGAGGCAGAGCCTTCAGTTTTCAGGCCCCTCTTCTGTGGAACCAGCTTCCAGTTTGGATTCAGGAGACAGACACTATCTCTACTTTCAAGATTAGGCTTCAAACTTTCCTTTTTGCTAAAGCATATAGTTAGGGCTGGACCAGGTGATCTTAGTTACACCGCAGGGCTAAGGTTTAAGATTTTGATGATTTGATGACATATAAAGAAAATTCTGATTTTGTTATCACCAACAAAAATAACTTTTGAATATCCAACTCATAACATATTTGTCACGCCGTTAGGCGTCTCATAGCAGTGCAAAATGGTAAATGGTAAATGGCCTGCATTTGTATAGCGCTTTTCTAGTCCATAGGACCCCAAAGCGCTTTACACTACATTCAGTCATTCACCCATTCACACACACATTCACACACAAAAGGTACCTTTCCACATCCTCATGAAACACTCTGGTTTCTCAATTGAATCGAATAGAAGACATGCTTAGAGAAGAGGCTCTAGCGTCCATTCCAGCCCCAAGCTTAACCACAACCTGAACCCTATCACAAAGTGTTTTCCAAAGTGATTCATGATCAAAAGTACATAATGCTTTGTTAGGTTGATTTTCATGCCACACGTAAAACCCATCTATAGATTCATTCCAACCCGCTCTCATGCCTCCTTACGGATCCCCACAAGGGACATGGGAGAAAAAAAAATTAACAACAAACTCGGGATCTCGCAAAAATTTTAGCGCATTCTTCGGAGGCCGCCACTCGAAGCCGACCGAGGTCGAGGCACGATGTGCCGGGAAAGCGGTGTTCCTCCCGGCTGTAGTAGGTCTCGACCTCCCGTTAGCTTCGAGTAGTGGGTGTCAGATCTCCAAAAACGTCGGAGCACTTTTGCAAATATGTGATGTCTTGTAAACCGAGCAGGTATCTGACGTTTACACAACTACATTCACGCCTCAAAATATCTTAAAAGTGTATTTTGTGACCCAGAAAGAGGAATATTACAACTAAGTAGCTGCCGCCATTGTTGGAATTCAACTTTTGCGAGATCTTGAAAAAGTTTCGCGAGATCCCGAGTTAGTTTTGCGAGCTCTCGCAAAACTTTTGTGAGATCTCGCAAAAGTCTGTCTTAATTCTTTTTTTCTCCCGTGTCCCCTGCGGGGCTCCGTACCTCCCAACGCATAACATACGGATGAATTGTCACAGCCGTCGGTGTGTTGCATGCTGGGATGAATGTGTTGGAATGTACAATCTACAAAGGACTGTGAGCCACATATTTACACTGTAATACCTGTTCTAAGTCCTAAGTGTTGACGAATACCACCCACATTAGAAAATATGGTGAAGTAACCAAAAAGAAACTGAAAGGAACATAAAAAGGAATTTCAGGTATTAAGAGGGGAAAGTTTTTATTTCGATGTGCAGTTATTGCCAGTTATGTGACTTTGGGAGATTTGATTCCACTTTTCCATTTTCCCAGTGCCTTTCTTAATTTGATTATTTTCCCTTCGTCCACCCAGTGTGATATTCCCTCCTGCTTCGAAAAGTGAATTTTTAAATTCCAGGATTTCCTGCAGTGCCACTTTAAAGTGAAGTGCTGTGCTCCTGAGTGTTTTCGCCTTCTGAGTCGTACCTGCTGCAGGTGTGTGCAGAGAGCTCTTACCTTGGGTCAGGAGCATCAGCCCAGCAGCCAAACACATCACTTTGTAGAAAGCCATCGCTGTAAGATCCAAACCTCCAGACCTGCTGAGGCATAAATAACCTTCCTCTCTCCTCCTCCTCTCTGTCTGCATTAAGCACACCTCTCTCTGACACCTGTCTGACGACACACCCAACACCTCACTGCAGCTCACCATTTCAGCTTTCAGGCAGCAATGTTGAACGTTTTTATTAATCCTTTCCAGCAGTCCTGTCTATGTCCTTCAGCTCCCTGACTATCCCACTTCTTCTCTCTTCATCTGAATGCTTTCCTGTACTTCCTCATTCCAACACCAAGTCTTCTTCAGTACACCAAACACCTTCTTGGATGTTTCCCTCAGTGCTTTCCCAGCTATCTGGTAACTTTTTCTTTCCACCCAGAGCTCTCCATCTCTTATTTTAGCTGCTTCCTCTTCTTCATGTTTAAAGTCTTCCTACTGACTGCCATCGAATTCTCCCTGAGACCACTGTGCAGTCTCATATCTCAGATTGCAGTTTCTACAAAAGATATACTTTTATCACCCAGCAACATCAGTTTCTTTATTTATTTTCTTTCTGTCAAACACAAAATGTAACAAAAACAGCAAACATTTTGTTCGTTAAAAGATTCTGTTCCACCCATCCATCCAAAGACAGGTTGTTTCTCTCATCATTATGATAAATCCACTTATTTCATATGATTTGAATCAAGTTTTTGTGAATGAATGAGCTAGATACACAAGATGAAGATACACAACACATCTGTTCTGTGAAGGAAACAGATTCATTTCATATT